TGACCTACTGGTCTCGATGTGGCGTTGAGTGCCAAGCTCAAGCCAGTTCCGTCAGTCAACAGGTCAGAAGTGAGGATGCACGCTTCCAATTCCCACGGTGTCCTTCACTGTATCCTGCTTACTGGAGCTCCAATGTTGAGGCACCACTATGTTCTGGCCGTTCTGCCCCACGTTTGAGGGCCACTCTGTACAGGCCTGAGCTGCTGCTCTGGTCTTCAGGTCAGGGTCTAGCAAGAGAGAGAGAGAGCGGGGATGGAGGGGCGAGAGATGCAAAGAATGGAGACAAGACAGAGGATCTGATCAAGTCTCTATTGAAAGGAAATCATGGGTATTTATACGCTTTACCACGTGCCTTGCCCTTGTGGACAAGCAAGGGAACACAGATGAAGGCACTACGTCATACGCCTTGCATCGTGGATACCACATGCGCCTTGCAGCTGGGGGTACTAAACAACAAAACAAGATATGTGAGAAAAACAAGATGTTTATCAGAGAGTGCTCGGCTGTTGTGGGCTGTTGAAAACAAGTCTCTTGTCAGGGTATATGGCTCAAGATGGCTGCAAAGATGATAGCCGCTTTCAGCTCAGAGTCAGCTCCCAACAGTTAGGTGAGGATGCTCACTCTTGCCACTTCTCAACACACTGCAACACAGCAATTAGGCAAGACAAAGAAAGGCATAAACAGTATCCAGATGGGAGAGGAAGAAGTTAAAATGTCCTGCCTGTAGGTGATATGATCTCAGAGCAGAAAAATCCTAAATATGTGACCTAAAACCTCTTCGAAGCACTGAAATCCAGTAGCATTGTGTGCCACGCAACCAACACACAAAAGTCCTTTTTTCCTCTAACAGCAAACTCCTCAGAAGAGATCAATAAAACAATCTTACTTGTAATACTACAAAATTAAAATGCTTAGAATTGAAGGCTAGCCTGGTCTACAAAGCTAGTTCCAGGACAGTGAAGACTGTACAAAGAAACCCTGTCTTGAGAAACCAAAACTGAAGTTGAGTATGGTGTTTCAGTCCTACAAACCCAGCATTCAGGAGGTGAGGCAGGAGAATTTCTGGTTTGAGGACAACTTTGTGTACATAGACATTGTCTCAAATTACCTGCTCCCCTAATGATGCTTCCCAGTTGTAAAAAGCAGAAATCTAGAAAAAAAAAGTAATTTTATAATTTGTAGGACTACTAAAAAAGTAGTCCTAAAAACAAAAGATTCCAAATAGTACAAAGCTATGGTAATCAAAACAGCCTGTCCTCAGCACAAAAACAGACACATAGACCATGGAATAGAAAGAAAAGAGCAGAAATAAATCCACTTCTGATAGACTTACTATTCAGAAAAATCCTGAGGAAAGGATAGTCTCTTTAATGAATGTTATGGGAAAAACTGAATACCCACTGTACACGAAGGAAATTAGATCAATATTCCACACTATATTAACAATCAACTCAGATTGAATTAAATATTGAAATTTAACACCTAAAATTACAAATTAGTAGAAGAAAACACAAGCAAAAAAACTCCACTACATTGTCCCGGACAGTGACTTTTTTTTTTTTTTAACCCAAAAGCTTAGGCAAAAAAAGCAAAACAGACAAATAGGATGTTATCAAATTAAAGTGTTGTGGAAAGTTAGAAAAACAACATTGAAGCGACGACCTATGGAGTGGTAGAGAATATTTACTTGACTTTGAAAGTAGAACAAATATAATAAACAAGGAAATGTTGTCCTTTGTGACAACATACTGAACCTGGAGGACACTATAGTAAGTGAAATATTCCAGAAATAAAACCCTGTAAGATCTCAAGTGTAGAGTTTTAAAAACGTTAATCTTAGAAAGAAAAAGAGTAGGATGGTAGTTTTTAGGGGTTGGGAAACAGAGGTAAGAGGGAAAATACAAAATGGAAAGCAAATACTCAGGAAGTCACGGAAAGTCATGGAGGCCTGACAACCATCTAGGGATTTTTCATAAGATGCTCTTGTTGGTCAAATTGGGGCTGTTGGGAGCCGACTCCGAGCAGAAAGTGGCTGTCATCTTTACAGCCATCTCGAGCCATATACCCTGACAAGAGACTTGTTTTCAACAGTCCGCAACATCTGAGCACACTCTGATAAACATCTTGTTTTTCTCACAAATCTTGTTTTGTTGTTTAATGCCCCCAGCTGCAAGGCGCACGTGGTAAAGTGTCTTTGGCTGTGTTCCTCTGCTTGTGCTTATATATACTCAGGATTTTCCTTTCAATAAAGGGGACTTGAACAGACTTTGTCTTGTCTCCATTCTTCCCATCTTTTTCCCTTCCATCCCCACTCTCTTGCTAGACCCCGTTGACTGACCAGAACAGGCCGGGACATAGTGGCCCCCAAATGTGAGGCAGAATGAGTCGTTACACAGGGCAACTTTTAAAAACTGGATAGTGGTCGTGCTGAATTAGGGCATTACTGAGAAAAAAAGAAAAAGTATCTGTATTGATACTAACCAAGGTAAAGAGAGGGAAAGGCTATGGATTCTCAGTAAAGTATAACTACAACCTAAAGAAGCATATGGACACAGCACTTCAGTGTAATCCAGCTCAGCAAGTACCGTGTGAGTGCTTGGATGGAAGCTCTGGGAGAGAGTAGTTACAGATGTGCACAAAATGGTTCTACAGTTAAAATATCCCTGAAGTTAATTTTTGATGTCTAGTATGAGGTAAGAACCAAACTGTTTTCTTTTCTAAAAGAGAAATCATTTTTTTCCCACAGAAATTAAACTTCATGCTAATGTAGACATGGAAGTGCAAACTTCTGGGGAACATGGACTGTGTTATGGTCATAGCGTTACATTTATTAGATGACCTACGTGGCCAATCACTGACTCGGTGAATGAAGACCTGTCCAATTAATGACTCATAAAATGTCAGTTGAGGAGCTGGCGAGATGGCTCAATGTTAAGAGCACATACTGCTTCTGCAGAGAACCCAACTTTAATTCCTTAGCACCCACATTTGGGGCTTACTACCCCCTATTACATCAATTTCGGAGGAATCTGAACCCTCTGACTTTCAGCGCCCATACAGCCCAGTATATCTTTTAAAAAGTGTTAGTTGAACAGTTGTTTCTGTACATAGAATTTCTTCTGCATCTTGATATCCTTTCGGCTGGATTATCTGTTGTGTTCTCTTGGCCTATTCTATAATTTAGTGTACGTTTGTGGCATATTAGCGTCTGTTGGGCTACTTTAAGAAAAGATTTTTTTCTTCTTCTTAAGGAAGATGCTTGTGTATGTTTATGGGCCAAGGGGAAAGTTATTGGGAAAGGTTTGGTTGAAGAAACATTGCAAGCCCCCAGGGATGAGTGAGGGACGTGGTTGCAGGTAGATGTGTGTGGTCGAGGTGGTTAGGTTAAGGATTGCACCCAAGATAGCCCGGCTTTTTGACTTGCATAGAAGACTGTCAGGGTAGCACAGCAGTAATGAACACCAAAGGCGGCCAGATGGCGCAGAGGACAAGATCCAAGAGCTAGTTAACTATCCTTAAGGATGGTGACCAGGACTTGCAGCGCCCCCTAGCTTCAGGTTTTGGTGGTACTTTCCAGCGTTGGAACCAAACCAAACCAAACCAAACCAAACCAAACCAAACCAAACCAAA